TCTCCAGGGCCCAAAACACCCTCAGACCCCAGAGGGTTAACAAAGGAAGCTTTCCCAAAAAACTCTGAAATAATAAAGAGGAGATGGTCTTATTATGAGGAGATACCAGCCTGTTTGAAAACCTGCTATTGCAGCTGTTTGCAGAATTATCTTTCGTGGGTTGTGTGCCGGTACGGCTCCAGCGCGGATGAATCTAATGTTTTGAGGAGTATGTGTGGCAGTCAGTCACAGCACCAGTGTGGATATTTACTGTACTTCGCAATCACAGATTCTAGCCTACGTCTTGGAATATATGACCCAAATAAGAATTTTCACTGTATATTGTCAACTGAACAAGTAAGTAACAAGTAGGAGTGTCGAAATTAATCCTTTCTACGATGCATCACGATGCAGATGAGGACGATTCGGTATCGGTTCAGTAATAGACCATAACCGATTATAACGTACTGACGCTTTTCTGACGTCTTTTGTCGCATACGTGCTTTGACGCAGTAGCATACATTAGGCGCGTTCGGCTTGAAGCACCGCTGTGCAGAATGATCAGTGTATGACATCAAGTACCGCGAGAGCGATAAGAGAGCAGACGGATCCTTATGCTTTTGAAATGCTCTCGCGATTGATGTCATAAACTGATCATTCTGCTCAGCGCCGCTTCAAGTCGAACGCGCCTAATGGCGGAGGGAGGTGAGACGCGAGCGCGAGTAATTAAAAATGCTCCAACTACTTTAAAAGCCGACATCTGGGCACATTTCGGCTTTTATGAACAACCTGGTAAGCACAACCTAGAGAAGACACACATGTGTGGAAATCATGTCACGCACAATAAAATATGCAGGGGGTAATACCACTAACTTGAGAAACCACGTCAGGTACAGTTCATATATCTGACTGCTTCTATTTATTGTAGGGCTGCAACAACTAATCGATAAAATCGATTATTATCGATTATGAAAATCAGCGACAACGATTCTCATTATCAATTAATCGGGTCTGCCCACAGTGCATGTCCAACTTCAGCCGGGTGCGTCACATTAAAGCACTGAATTTAGGGCTGGACGATATGGCCAAAATTGTTATCACAATATATTTCTTAATTTCGGTCGATACGATATAATTCCGATATCGATATGAACACTATTTATCTGAAATAGAAATATTTTGTAACATTATAAATGCCTTTATCATCACTTTTGATCAATGTTAAGCATCCTTGCTAAATAAAAGTATTCGTGTTATGATTTTGTACAGTGCTCATGTTTATTCAACGAAGTCAAACGGCACAAATAAATCAATAAATGGGAAACTGGTAATGTATATCTGTGAAATAATGAAACTGTGCGTGTTGCGTTTATTCTGGGCTCACCTGCTTGCCTGTATATTAGTTATGTAGGCTATATTTTAATAATGAAGAGCATTGAGTTTGGTCTTTATCATCTTAGTCCATTATGCCACGTTTTGCGGTGTGG